TCTACAATTTTGTAAAGCAGCTTGTTCTTAACGTTCAAGAAAGTAATTTCCTTACATAGAGAATCATGTAATTGAAATCAACACATTGTAGATGATGGAGTTGCACAGCTCAAATATTTGCATTTATCCTATGCTTAATATAACAAATCATGTATTTTTAGAGCTTCCGTCTGCACAGCTGGTAAAAGAGAGAGTATATAGCTCCATCACAAATTTTAATATCACCTAACTCATGACAAATTACAGTTTTCTCCTCCCCGACAGGATTTTTTGGTTTAAAAGGACAGTTGCTTTGTTTAAATTAACCACATATTCATATGCCTGCTCATACAGACGCAGAACAAAATTTCACCTCAGTGGCTGATAAGTATGAAGAAAAATCAGGGGCGGATCCACCCTTTAGGGTGAGGTGGTATGGCACCCGCTCGGTTGGTAAAATTATCATATATTTATATAGAAATATCTTTAAACTAGGTTAAACATTTGATCCTGCCACCCCAGTCACAAACTAGACAAAGGTGGCTGGTAGACCTTTTTGAAAGCTTCTTTTATGTCTAAAATTCACGTTCGAATTTTCGTTGTGCTTTTTATTTCTTGTCCCAATCATTTTTCTTTTTGGCAACATCCCAATTTCCTCTTTGTCATTTTATTTTTATATTTTTTCTTCTATTTTATTATTTTATCTGTGATCTTTAGCACGAACACTCAAAAAAGAGCCTCCAAAATTTAAAAAATTCATAAAATAAGCATTTCTCTTAATCTCAAATCTTTTAGTTTTTTTCTTTCAAAATAAAAAACTTGGGTCTTGATATTTAGATTGAGATCAAATTTAATTTTATAATTTCTTTTTAAAAAAAATTTGTGCTATTCTATGATTGTTATATACAATTTAAATCTCTTTACTATTAAATTATGACGAATATTTCGCAAGCATTGCCTAGAAAAATATGAGATTTATGATTATAGTTTTGGTATCTTGTAGTTTATCTAATTCTGCATTTACTTATGAGGATTTTATTTTACTTTGTGCAAATTTATTTTTAGCATACAAAAACATATAGCCCTCTAGTGAAAATGATGGTTTTACTTGTATTGTTAATAGTAAAGGTGTGATTCTTTCTTTTAAATGCTAATTACATTTGCTTTTTGATTTTTGAGATGTAATTTTCATACGACATTAACAACATACCCGGTGAAAATTCCATAAGTATGACATGGAAAAGTGATGTAATTTTCATATTTGCAAATAAAGTACCTCTTAAATTGCCCGAATAAACTAAAAAAAATGAACCGAACTAACTATATATTAGTTATTATAAGATGTACATTAAAGAAAATTTTAGCACCCACCACCTTTAAATCCTAGATCCGCCTACGAGAAAAAGGGAATCATATGCAAAAAGTAGATGTGATTCTGGACCCAAATCTACCTTTGACTTGTTAGCATACCTTAAGTAAGAAGATTGCCCCTCAAGGCAAATGAGAAAAGAGGTAACTACAACAAGCTAAAAATATATTGATAGTAATAAAATTCTTACTCCCAGTAAATATAAGTTAAATCCTTTTATGCATTAGCACTCCCACACTTCGACCTTTTAACCACATAATTTTATTACACATCTTAACTTTGAAACTCAATTTAAACTGAGTTATATTCCCATGGGTAAAAAATGCGAACGACTTTTCGCTAAGGGCATTCGTACTTTTAATATATAGTATAGATAGATATAAATTTTGTAAAGCAAATCTCTGTTTGGATGAAGCTCTTCTTCTTTTGAGTGAATGGAGTTACTTCAGCTCGAATGTCTTAGATCAATTGGAAGGATGAGTGCCTACCTATATCAACTTTGTTCTGTCATTCTTTCTTTACTCAAGCAACATATGTCTTGAAACCAAGGGACTAAACTTCCCAAATCAATCCAAAACTCACCCAAAACCAAATCAATCTTCCCGGTAAGTCGCGTAACCATAAATACACATATGTCTTGAAACACACTTGCGGGACTAATTTGAATTCATGTGGTACACTCGTTAAAAGAAAAAGCGCTTCCTAACAGGAATTTATTGCCATTTCCGAGGCTCAAACCTGAGACAGTTTGGTTAAGAACGGAGGAATCCAATTCATCCATGCCATAGGCGGGAGTATGATTAGGAATTAGAAGACAAATACAGATCAAGACACTTGGCTGGAGGACACCATAGACCACATTAACCATGGGAATTTGTTATAACCTGGGGAAAGAAATTGATGCCAAAATATCCCCATTCATAATCTACAGCCCACTACTTTACCAAGCTCGAATTGAATTTAGATATACAGGTCACAATTCTATGTTGGACAATGAACAATAGGTTTACCCTGACCATAAACATAAAGAAATCCAAGCATTTGGCTGGTGGTATAAAATGAGAAGGTAAACAGATTTATCCCGCCATTTCAACAGACACACATATTCGTCTAAGCTACAAATGATCACTTCGCTGAAACTTCTATTTGCATGATTTTAGCTGAAGTCAATCTGTCGCAGACAACATTCTCCTAGTCCTGCAACTGTTAGTTGCGGCTGTCAATAGACCCTGTACTTTACTGGAATTTAAGAAGCCACCTACTGAACCCCTAACCAGTAAAGAGTACATCACTTCCATCCACAAACTCCAAAGACACGTTTAATAAAAATTGTGGCCAAACAAAGATTCATATCCTTTATACAACAACAACAACAAACTAGTGGAATCTCACAAGTGGGGTCTGGGGATGGGAGGGTATACGCAGACCTTAACCCCTACCTATGAAGGTAGATAGGTTGTTTCCGAAAAACCCTCGGCTCAAGAACGTAAAAAAAATGGAGCAATAGAGAAACAATATCAACAACAATATAATAAGACAGTGTAAGCAAATAATACAACGAATAATGACAGATCCAGGGATATGAAACTACAAGAATATAGCAAATCCTACTGCTAAAACTGACATACCGTATAGAAACAAGGGACTAGGAATAGGAAGGCACCCGACAAGTACTACTATTACTGGTAAGACAAGGCAAAATTCTAGACTGTCTATCAACCCACCACCCTAATTTTCGACCTCCACACCTTTCTATCGAGATCATGTCCTCGGTAAGTTGGAGCAGAGTCATGTCCTGCCTAATCACCTCACCCCAGTTCTTCTTAGGCCTTCCTCTACCCCTCCTCTGACCCGCCACAGGCTCACGCACCTCCTAACCGGGACATCAACGTCTCTCCTCTTCACATGACCAAACCATCTCAGCCTCGATTCCCTCAACTTCTCTTTCACAAGAGTCACATCCACTTTGTCCCTACTATATTCATTCCTAATCGTAATGCCCACACATCCACCGCAACATCTTCATTTCTACTACTTTCATCTTCTGGGCATAAGATTTCTTGACTGGCCAACACTCGGCTCCATAGAGCATGGCCGGTCTATCCAAACTATTACATTTTCAACAAATGTACTCTTCTTCGAAGACAGTAGGTTTAGCTTATCTAGACTTTAGTGAATAATCTGGAAGAATTTTAGGAAGTTACAGGCTCCCTTCACTTGTAACCGGGATGATGCCTTAAACTTTTGTGAATTACAGCACTTCATTAGCGCTGATTTTTGAATAATATAGTTTACTTACTTTAGCAACTCTACTCGTATTCACCCTTCCTAAGTTGTTCCTAAAAATTACTCGTATTCACCCTTCCTAAGTTCCCTAAAATTCCTAAAAAAGGGGGTTAAGAAGTTTAAAGTAAGAATACATAGATATTAACATAATATCCCTGATAACCCCATAACAAGAAAAAAATGGGGAAAGGTCAACTCCATCCAGAGAATGAACCTACAGAAACGCAAGGCACAAAACCATGTGATGAACCTACCAGATATATGAGCTTTATCAACAAATCAAAGATCTTCCTGTAATTTCCAAACTAAAGACCAATCTGAGTCCACCGACTCATTTGCTCCACAAGGAAATGGGACAGTGCGAGCTAAGTCTGTAGACTCTGTTACATTGTTTACAACTTTACATTACTGTATGCAAAATCTCCAATAGGCCAAATAAGTATTCCTCTTCTTTCCCTCGTATACCCAGAAAATTCAGCTAACGCGTATGGTCAGTTTGTGTTAATTTAGTGATCCATAAAGAGTATATGAGGGAGTATGGAATGAAGATGTAAGACAGCTTGCGCCAAACCATTCAAGTTGAAGTGCCAAATTCTCACTTTAGCAACGGATGGAACTCCAACACACCAACTCATGTCCAAGGCAATTTCTCCTAGATATTGGATACTACGCATTTGCATTAGTCGATTTTACATGGACTAGTGTCCAAGAATCACCCTTATCCATACTGCATCGAGTCTTGAGAAACACTATCAAATATGCTATGTAGATCAGAATGGTGAGGACTGAGGTAAATCAATGCCAACAAACCCCCGAAGGAATCTCTACGCAATCAGTACAGAAATCTATATAACAGTGGCAGGGTGCAAAGATCCTCATACGAATGTAGTCTCTAGTAGATGTTGGAACAGATTCTTATATGATTAACTACGAGTATCTCATCTGTTATACTAATTTGACCAAGAATAGAAAATAGATTTGCAGGGATCATATTGAATTAGATCAGTGTAGAGGAAAGGTTATTTGGTTTAGTCGAATAAAAACTATATTGACTTATAGTGTCTGCGATCCTTCAATAAACCGAACATAAGATTTAGCCGAACATACACCAAGTATAGAGCAAAAGTACATTTACTCTCCGTCTCTCACACAACCAAATCAATACTTAAATATTCTTATCCAAAGCAGACACTAAGAGTCTTGTTGTATACATTTTTATTCTTTTGCTAACAGTAACCATTTGGGGCATGTAAATTCCCGTAGCCATTATTATACACCATTTCCATCATTTCCTCTCATCATGACCGATCACATAGGTATCCACAGAAGCAAAATACTGCCAGCTAGAAGTCGAAAACAAAAGTCACATGCGGAAAAGCTAAGAAAAGAAAAGTACTATTATAGCATAAATACTAACTAAAAATCTATTCTTGCAAGAAATTATTACCAAACAAGACAACGTCAAAACAAATTACTTATCAAGCTAGAGTAATCTCATACATTTCACAAAAATCATCATATTGCCTTTACTTCCATGACAGCAATTAAGCTTAATTTTTGAAAAAAAAAAAAACGCTGCTGCAACACACAAGACATGAAACAAACTAACAACATAAAGAAGCAAAGGAGAAAATGGAAATTACTCTAATAAGAAAGAGGGAAAAAACAGAAGCCCGATTCTTAAAAAATAAAGCTAGTGTTGCCCATAAAAATCCTTTATACATAGTCCATTGTTCCCACTGGTCCTCCGGGATTTCTTGATTATAAAAAGAAATCCTTTATACTTGGTTAAATCAATTCTAAACTGATGAACTTACCACAACTCTCTTCCTATACTGTGAAGGAAAACAGAGAAAAGAATAATGGAGGAGTCCTTTATCAGGAATGAATTTTCCACAATTTCCGCCCTTCCATCAGGTACAACACCATCACAGTCCTTAAATCAAGTGAATGCAATCTCACAGACTGAAACATTCAGGATGTTAGAAGACACTACAGTTCAATTTCTTGGAAGATATTTAGTGAAAATTCATCCAGGAAAAGTTATGAGTAAGAAAACAAGTGATTCTATGATGTTCCCGCTCTATAAATTAACCACTTCTTGAGGAATAATAGTACACTAAGGAAAGAACCCTGAAATCATTGGTATGTATCATGCATTATGAGTAGTAGGTGCAAAATAAAGATAATGAAGCAGAAGATCAGGAAAATATAGTAGTAGAAGATAATAGACAATGAAATAGAAGTTAATGACCTCGATCTTTAAAAAAATAATAGACACATAGTATCTAATTATTGTCATGGCTAAATTGTGATCCTAAATAGATGGGACCACACAAATTGCTATTGAACTGTGCCCATAAGACAAGCATAATAGACACTATGGAAAGCTCTAACAACTCATGTACCAATGGCCATAAGACATAGTGGAAACTCCAAGAGAAAACGAACACCACAGAATTTCAAGCTAATGTATTCACATGTGCAAGTAGACAACTTTTTGTTGAAAATGCAGTACGGATGAAAATGGAACAACTGAATTAAAAGAAAAGCCTAGAACGGATGTAAGAAGCCATTAAAAAGAGGAATCTGCAAAGAGATGCTCATACATGTCGGAATCTGCAAAGAGAGAGACTTGCATATTGGGCTCTTCGATCAAGTGAAGATGAGGGTAGCAATGCAATGCAAGGATCATATAGCAGGGGATGTTTACTCAGGAAGGAGAGTAGGTGGTCATATACAAAGAAGGAAGTCAAGTCGCTTAAAGAAGAAAAAAACTTGCCAAAGCAAAAATCCAAGAGGCAAGAGTTTCGGAGAGACGACAATGAGCTACCACAGGAATATGAAAAATATAAACAATTAACATAAGAATTTTTTCCTTTTTTGATAAGGTATAATTTTTTATTAACAATTAGGGGAAACCCTGTATACAAGCCGTATGCCAAAAAGAGAGAACCTACACCAAAATATGATTCTCAACAAAAGGAGCCAAATCCCCTATACGGAGAGGGACCTCACGCATACACCAAAAAGAAACTAGAAACAAAAGACCATTTTACAATTAACATAAGAAATTTATCAGGCTGAACATTTGAATGGAGGAAGATTAAAAGATTAGGTCTTTCCGTGGAAAATTGGACATCGAAGAAACTGACGAAAGCGAGTATATTATAATAATGTAGAGCTGCTCTCATTGAAGGCAGCTCATATCCTGAGATTCCCAAACTTGAGGTTTTTCTCATATCTGATACACGAAACTGGCAAGATTACCATTTCTTTGTTCTGGATATAGAAGACTGGTCTAACCTAGACCCAAATTGCATACACAATTTATTCCCACAAATTCGTAGTCATTTTCAAACAGAAACATAAAGTATCAGACTATTTGCTTTTCTAGTTTGTAACATAATCAGTTTCTTTCTCAATGGCACATTTACCTGATCATTTCACAGTTCCATCGTGTGCAGCAGTCACAAATTCACTTAAATTTGCTGAATTTCTTTTCCAATCAAGTGTTTTTGTTTAGCTTTGACTATTCCATCAGTAAAAGATATCCTGAACTTTCTAATACCTATTTCAAGATTGAACATAAAATAAGTACATCACCGCTACTTCTTCCAAAGAATACTTTCCCCGTTATACAAAGTGTGTACGACTACATCTTTGAATATTAGTTTGATTCAATACTGGAAAGCAGCTCATCTGGGGAAAGTTTTACATGCCTCCAATATATAATTAACATAAAACCATAGAACTCCATATAGCTTTTCAAAATTAAACTAACAACATTTCCAAGAAAATTCAAATTATTCCAAAGAAAATAGATGATCTACCTAGGAGCATAAGACCTCATACTGCTCCAAGGGAACTTTGCTGCTGCAGCACCAACATCCGAAGAACGTTCACCACCACGTTCACGATCACGACCACAACTGAATCTCCTCTCTGAACTACTCCTCGTGTCTCTCTTCTCGTCAAGCCAATGCATCTTCTTAGGCTCGTCATCCTCAACAATGCTAGACTTAGATTTCTTGCTCATATTTTTCTTTTCCTCTTCGATCATTCGTATAGGATAAAGATCCCTCGATATAGACAAAGGGTTCTTAAGTGTAACATAAGCTTTTTTGTAGTCTGGTTTAGCAATTAATAGCCCGCCTCTCTTCTTCTTCTTTCCATCCATGTTTAAAGTTTGGACCTTTTCAACTTCAAAGCCGTACAATGACTCCAATACCCTCTTTATCTCAATCTATACATAAAATTCCAAGAAATATTTAAAATCTTTAGTATCAGAGAATCGCTTATTATTGAATAGAACAAAATAGATAGTGAAGATTCAAATAGCTTATGTTGGGATTGATGGGTTGCCATTGTATTTAGAAACAACTTAAAACTTTTTATTTTACCTTAATAAGATATATTTATAGCCACACAAATATATATGGCTTGTTTCAAAAGTCTTTTTTTTAAAAAACTATCTGTCGAGCCAAACACCATAACATAAAATGGGATCGGATGGAGTAGTAATAATGTGAAATATTATAATAAAAAAGATGTTACCTTGGAAGCAGAGGGAATGGTTTTGAGGGAGATCTCAGTGATGTTGGAGAAAGAGGAAGGCATGAGAAGCTTAATCGGAAGATTAGCGAAGTTTACAACTCTTCTTCCTAATCGACTTCCCATGATTCTTTTGATGAGTCACTGTAATTCGGAACTCTCAGCAATGGCGTCTCTGTGTAGGGAAAGAGGGTATAACTGTGGGTTGGGCCTAAAATGTGCGTGGGCTAGCACTCTACTACATTAAAGGCCCACAACCATTGCGGTTGTAAGGGGCATAAGGTTTATCCACGTCACTGCTTACATAAGTGTCCGACGAAGCTTATTAGGTCCGCTATAAGTTCAACTAAACTCAATATTTACACTCTTGAAACATAAATATGCAATAAATAATCACATAGTTTCAATGACTATTATATTTTGAATTCATAATTATAAAAGTCCTCTACCTTATACCACTGAATAGGAAGGAACTAATTCTCCTTTACAAGGCGAATCCTATATTTTAAATTGGTGTTAGTTTTTACCAAATAAATATTTCGTGAAACTAAATCAAAAATTAAATTTTATACAAATGTATATAGACTCTTACAAAAATCCCAATTAAAGCCATACACATTAATATATAGATCGTGGACATAGGGAATTTACTAGGTTTTTTGTTGTTGTTTGATCACGCCCAACTCTAGTCCAAAAAAAGATAAGCGGTCACTGCAAATATAATCCGGTCTAAGAGTCCGAAGTCGAATCCCACAGAGAACTAAGGTTTAGCTACAACTGTTCATTATCACCAAGAAGACAAGTTTGAACAATTCCTAAGTTATAAATATTAAGATTCTCATTTCTAACTAGTTAACTAACAAATTAAAATAGTAAATTAACAATTAAAGATACTAAGGTTCGGAGACAAGATTAAGGAGGTCTAGAGTTATGATTTTCCCAATTGTCGGAATCCTTCTCGCTACGTCTCTTATAATTTCGCCTAGTTATTCTCTACTGATCGTGATCACTTCAAGTGTCGTAATTCTCTCCCAAGCAACTACAAAAATTTACTAGACATATTCTCCTGAACTACGCTAGCTGGTACAATCTTACCGCTCACTATGACCACGTCAAAGCTTTGTTATTCCTAAACCCACCTTTAAACCCGTCGTATTGATTCCTCATATATGTTAGGAATGACGTTGTTCAACAACTACCTAAATATGTACCATTTTCCAAGCAATACATAATAAATAGGCACAGTCAATTGATGGCCATTCAATCAACAGAAATAAGCACGTAGTTGAACAAGTAAATAAATTCAAAGGCTAAATTATATTCAAACTTAACAAGAATTCATCCTCCAAAAGGTTCTATCAAAACCCTAAATAATAAATTAGCTACTCATAGTAGTATGTGAAAATACAATACTAAAATTCATAACCAACAATAAAAAACAGGAGGAAGAAAGGAAAAACTCGTGGTTGAATCTTCCTCCTTGCTCCTAGTATATTCTTGCCTCCAAAGGTATTGTGTAACCCTAAAGTAGTGTCTCATCCTCCAAAGTTATGTAAATATCATGTTTAGCATGTATTTATATGACCTAGATAGGGTGGAGGGCCGTCCAATACAATCCAATATTGGATAGGAGAGTTGGAATCCGCGTCTGCCTTCGTGCGTCGCGTGCCCATTAACGCGGACTCAGCTTTTGCAGTTTTCCAGTTCGCGATGCGGTCCATACCTTTGCTTCACTTCGCTGTTTTGTGCCTTCAGTTTTTTCCCTTTTCGTGTCCGTTTTCATGCCACACACGAGATTGGACGAGCTCCCAATTCTTTCCATCTCTTCCTTTTGTGTTAAATTGTCATATTTCTTTATTTATCATCCAAACTCGTTCATACACATAAGAAATACATAATGAGCATATTTCACTTGAAAAAATACGTAATCTCCCGCGACTCACACAGGAATTAATATGCAAATATACTCAAAAATATACATTTTTTATCATTTATCACCACCCCACACTTAAACTCTTGTTTGTCCTCGAGCAACTTAAAACTAAGTACGTCGTCAAGTAACACATTTTAAAATATACCTAAGCATCCTACCAATGACAATGGTTTATATCAATGCATAGAACCTAGCATAAGCACTATTTATACTTTTCCTCAAGGTTTAAAATGATGCCAAGACTATTTAAAATATTTGTGTGACTCTTTCTAACATCCTAGCCTCAAAAGATGACTCGAGTATATTCCTCTTTGTGATTCGCTTCTTGTGCAAACTAAAGATACGAGTTCCTTACCAACCCGCTGTAAAGCATGTGCCCTCACCAATAAAACAAAGATAGTAATTAGTCCGCGCACTCAAATATGAATTCAAGTATAATTTAAGGACTCACATAATGAAAGAATTCACTCACTCTCGCAAAGAAACTCATGTGCCCCCAAAGCTTACCATAGGCTTTCCCATAATATAAGTCTCTACTAATTTAAACTCGCAAAGTCTAGGATCAATTAGATCTTCATGGGTTGTAATGTAGGCTAAGAGACGGATAGGATATATATAGATAATAATGACTAACCCTCCTAAGCACTTTTAATACAATATATTTTAACTTTTAAGCACGTCCTGTAACGACCCGATCGGTCGTTTCGAGAGTTATAACCCCGTTTTTCCCATTCCTACTTCTTTTTGTGTTATTCAGCTATATTATGTTATATCGGTTTAGTTGGTTCGAGTCCGGAAGGAACTCAGAGTGAAATGAGACACTAGTCTCATAATTGATAATTTTAAGTTAGAAAAGTGGACCGGATATGGACCTATGTGTAAACGACCTCGGATTTGAATTTTGATGATTCCAATAGCTCCGTATGGTGATTTTGGGCTTAGGAGCGTGTCCGAAATATTATTTGGAAGTCCGTAGAGGAATTAGGCTTGAAATGCCAAAAGTTTTATTTTTGAGAAGTTTGACTTGGGGGTTGACTTTTTGATATCAGGGTCGGAATCCGATTTTGAAAATTGGAATACCTCTGTTATGTTATTTAGGACTTGTGTACAAAATTTGAGGTCAATCGGACGTGATTTGATAGGTTCCGGAGTTGTTTGTAGAAATTAGAAATTTCAAAGTTCATTAGGCTTGAATTGGGGTGTAATTTATGGTTTTAGCGTTGTTTGAGGTGATTTGAGGATTCGACTAAGTTCATATAATGTTTTAGGACTTGTTGGTATATTTGGTTGAGGTCCCGAGGGTCTCGGGTGAGTTTCAGATGGTTAACGGATCAAAGATTAAACTAGAACAGTTGCTGCAATTTCCTTCTGTCGGAAATTTTCTTCTGCCCAGAAATCGAGCCCAGATGTGAGCCCAGATCGAGCTCAGGGTCGAGGGCCACGATCGAAGGCATGATCGAGCCCAAGGTCGAGGGTCACGGTCGTAGGCCGGGTCGAAGACATGATCGAAGGCCTGGGATCGAGAACCAGGATCGAGGGCCAGGATCGAAGGCCAAGATCGAGGCAGAACCGAGGTTGTATGGACAGAATTATAAAAAAACACGGACTTCGTCCCATTTGCCATTTTTGACAAATTGGAGCTTGAGGAGAGGCGATTTTTGATATATTTTCAAGGAAAACTTGAGGTAAGTCCCTTGTGATTATTTCTACTCCATAATATTGAATTATCATTGAATAATCCAGCTAGATTACATGATTTTGAGGTGTAAATCGGAGATTGGAACTTAAACATTTGGAAATAAGATTTGTAGATTTTAGGGTCGAGTTGAGGTCGGATTTTGGTAAAATTGGTATGGGTAGACTCGTGAGTGAATGAGGTTTCTAGTTTTGTAAATTTTGTCGGATTTCGAGGTATAGGCCCAGGGGGAGGCGGGTGAGCCAATTTCGGGTTTTGGTCTAATTTTGTAGTTTTTCTTGTGGAATTCATCCCATTGGCGCGTATTGATGGTATTGTACTGATTGTGAATAGATTCGGAGCATTTGGAGGCCGAGTCCAGAGGCAATATCATTGCGGGTTAGAGATTTGACCGGTTTGAGGTAAGTAACGATTGTAAATCTAGTCCTCAGGGTATGAAACCCCAGATTTGTATCATTCTACTGTTTTTTTAGTGACGCACATGCTAGGTGACGGGCATGTGGGCGTGCACTGTTGGGGATTTGTGACTTGGTCTATCCCGTAGCAACTATAAAGTTGCATACTTTGTTGAAACCATTGATACTTATATCTTTTAGAAAGATTTTCTATGAATTGGGTTGAATGCCATGTTTGGGCCTTGCGCCAATGCTCTTTGGGCCCTTAGGGGCTGTTTCTTACCATCCTCTCATTGTTTTCGATTGAAAATCTATACTCAGTTATGTTTATACTTATTTACCGCATAACTCTGTTTTATGACTCTATTTTGATGCATATAAATGTTTTGGGCTGAATGCCCTATTTTACTGAAATGCCTGAGTGGCTTGAGAGGTTTATGACTGAGTGAGGCCGA